TATCGTCGGATCATCAGGATGGAATGAGAGGTAGAGTTGAGTGTCATCAGCATAGCAGTGATATGAAAAGCCATGTTTCTGAATGACAGAACCTAGTGATGTAATACAGTGTTGGATGATCAAAATCGAATGTGTTTCACCAGTTACCATGTTTAGGCTTCAGTAAAAGACGGGCATTGGTTCCTTTGTAAACATGTTTTCACTTTTATCATAACTTCAGTTACCTTTTTTACAAGAAAAATAATGTGACCTAGTTAAAGGCATCATTTCTGGAACTAGTTAATGGTTTCATAAACATCCGTGCCAAGATCTGAACAGTCTGCATTGGTTAAATTTTTGTTTCAAACACAATAGATCCCAAAACAGCCCAGACTGACACAGTTACCGACTGTTTTCTGGTAAGAAATCAACAAAAAAAGAAATCAGCAGTCTCTAGGAAAGCCTCAAAGCAGAACAACAAACCTGGGTGGTCACTTTGGATAAAGAATTAATATGAAATGTTGGCGCTGGAAGTAGTTCTTAAAATACTTTTTCTAAAAGTTGCATATGTAGTGAAGTGCCTTTCAAGAAGAAAAAAAAGTACTTAGTAATGATTACTATGACAAGGTGGTGTTCCCTTGCCCACGGCCCAGAACCCTGGAAAACTGGGCTCCAGTATCCACAAAACATAGAACAAGTGGTTTGGAAAATGGATGGATTTTTGATAAGATTAATGTGGACTAGTCTGGTGATTTATTGTGCATATATGGTTTTCTGGTTACCCTAAACAATGCAAAGTCTTACAATTTATATATTTTTTTAACTCTGCGAGAGTTACACTTACACCTCAAACAAAACAAATGTAGTTAGTTTATGAGTTAAATTAGTACAATGCATATGCTTTTTGTGCATCATTGTCCTGTGTCACAGCAGCACTGTATTGGTAAAGACATTAGGATTGAGTGAGTTTTTTTTTTTTTGCAAATGATGACCTACATTTTGGCCTTTTAAAGATACTCTCATCTATTTATTACTTCCTTAGAGTTATTGTTAAATTTGTGTGATCAATCCAAGCTCATTTTAACACACTATCTGTAGTTTCTATTCATATTTTAGTTAGTCCATTGTGACCAAATGGAGTGACATGTGAGACAACTCAAATGAACAACGAGGGATGGTTGACAGAAACTGACCCCAGATTGAGACAGGCATAAAACACATTAGATGTCGCAATCCAGTTGGACCAAAGCCCGATTTACAACAGAAGAATATTAAAGAACCTTCAAGTAAGCTCTCAGAAATGGAACTGGTTTGCAGAAAACCACATCCAAACAGCTCTCAGCAAATTAAGTGTCAAGAAACTGGAGAGAATTTGAGAAGGGTGAGGGGCAAAATGTGAGCATGTGGAAGCAATTACTGGCTGCAGGCGGGATCTGTTAGCTTTCAGCTTACTGGGTGCTTCCACACTGCTGATCCACCAGCCAAGCCTGCTTCCACAATCAACCAACCCTATAATACTGCCTCCTCAACTGACTACGAAACCCTCAGGAGCTTCATAATGCTGCCTTCTCTATGCATCTCTGGTTGGGAGAGGGAAAAAAAGTGTGAATCTTGATTCAAACGGTGACTCGTTTGCCGAGACCAAAGGGGAAATCATGCATGGAACTGTAATGTAGAGTGTGGAGCGCTCGATACTATATCTGGGAGGGGTCAGGAGGTTATTGATATTGTTAGACTGTGGGGACCGCTGGAAACGCATAAATAGCTGGAAGACACACAGTAATCTTGCAGTCTTCCTCTGAATGCCTGGGCACAGGTGACTTCCACTCAAGCTTTTCTGCAGAAAACCTCATCAAAACCTGTAAGTACTTTCTTTAACTATATGTTTTATTTGTGCTGCACAATGTTGAATTGCTTCTGCTTAATTATGATACATTCAAATCCTTTTTTAGGGCATATGCATTTAAAGGTAGTATTTTCTATGACAAATACATAATAAATACTACTGTGTATACATACTAAATTAATTCTATTTTGAATATAATAATGTCTAAATTAATTATAGTGCATGGTGCATGAAGTTGGGTAATACTAATATAAATTGATGTAACAATCTATGCTAATATAACATAGTGATTAAAAAAATATTTATAAAATATTATATTGAGTATCGCTTAACCAGTTTCAACAAATTGGGAAATTTCATTGCCAATCCTTCTGAATATTTCATGTAAGAATGCCTGGAAACACAGAGAGTGAATTTGGTTATCCTGACCTACATTCTTTTCTTCTTAGTCAGTGTATGGCACAGTTACACCAAATCACTCATAGAGGAGTTTATGTAAAGTCTTTAATTCCCCTGTTTTACCATTGTCATATGCAGTAGTTTAGGAAGGAGTGGTCCATAGTGTCCAAACCTGGTTATGGCATGCATCCACATGCCTGGTAAAACAGTTTATTGTTCCCTCACAGAACCAGCATGGAAAAGATGACATCTTTGAAAGTGAACTGCTGGCTGCAGTGGCTTACCGGGACTCTGGCCCTGCTGAGTGGAGTCCCTGCAATGCCGGTCGACGTGGACCGCGTGTGCATGGCGCCGTCCGCAGCCAAGTACAGACTGACGTTTACCGGCCAGTGGACTCAGACTGCCTTCCCCAAACACTACCCTCTGTACAGGCCGCCTGCTCAGTGGTCCCCCATCATTGGTGAGTGGGCTGATCTTATGAGTAAGAACAGGGTAGTAGTAACCATTATTCTTGTAAAAATGTTTAACATTTGCTGCACCCCTTTTTGGGTCTGTTCACCCAATCCTTTCACATTGTTCCTATTGAGGGGGTTTGACCCAGTAACTATGATTAACCCCTCCAAAGGAAGTCAAAACAAAGGTTAGGTGATATACCAGGGCTGTCCAAACTCGGTCCTGGAGGGCCGGTGTCCTGCAGAGTTTAGCTCCAACTTGCCTCAACACACCTGACTGGAAGTTTCTATGCCTAGTAAGAGCTTGATTAGCTGGTTCAGGTGTGTTTAATTAGGGTTGGAGCTAAACTCT